ACATTTACATTTAATCATTTAGCAGACGCTTTTATCCAAAGCGACTTACAAATGAGAACAATAGAATCAATCAGACCAACGAGAGAACAACAGTATACAAGTGCCATGACAAGTCTCAGTTAGTCTAGCACAAATTGCTACATTTTATTTTTTTAAATAATAGAATGGAATAGAACAGAACAGAATAGAATAGGTAAGTGCAAGTATTAGTTGGTCAGGTGATGGCGAAAAATTTTGTTTTTATATATGTTTTTAGATGTTTTTTTGAAAATGGCTAAAGACTCAGCTGTTCGAATTGAGATCGGGAGGTCATTCCACCAGCTGGGCACAGTCCAGGAAAAGGTCCTTGAGAGTGATTTTGAGCCTCTTTGGAATGGCACCACAAGACGCCGTTCACTTAGTACATGCGGGAAGGCCCGCCAAGAGAGCATTACAATCAAATGAACAGTTCACTCTTAGGCCCATTTTGTTATGACAATCCCACAAAAATAACTCCCCTGAACACAAGATGAAATATGAAGGGCACTCTGGAAACTTCTGTTCCAGGAGATTGTTGAGGGCCTTTTCCTTGTCCTCTTCCTCCATTATAAGGAAAAGAGGCTCTTCCACTGGCCCCCTGAGCAGATGTCTATTGTAATGGAGCCATTTCACAACTTCTGTCTGGGATTACTGGGATCTCCTTCATTACAGAATATTAAAGGCACATGTAACTTTAATATGTCTTATTAATGTGTGTGTGTGTATGTATGTATACATGTGTGTGTGTGTATATAGATAGATAGATAGATAGATAGATTTGAGACATACCTCACAAGCGTAGCCTGTTATCCAATTGAAAGGGCCTCTTGTAGGGTTTCTGCACTGTACTATACATGTATCTTGGTTCATTTCAAATTGGTCAGAAGGGGGTGCAAATGTAATGGTAGGCTGGAGGAAATGTCCAGTACCTTTCAGAGAAAACTCCACAGTTCTCCAGAAGAATAAGAGTCCACCATCTCCGTATGATTGGAATGTCACACTGGATACACAAACACAGATAAATCTTTAAATATCAACTGCTACAACATCATAAAGGTAAATTACTTTAACTGATAACTACTTACAGATGTAAAATCAAAGGGTGCTCCCAAGACAAGATGTACAAAAATAAGAATATTCTCCCTGTAAATGGCACAAAAAACCCTTCCTTGTTCCATATTTAACAACTAAATAATCACACCAATAATTGGTTGCAAAAATGTATAGTATAGCCTAAAATAAATAAATAAGTACACAGGTAAACTATTATGCAATAATACATTGTGAGTACATATATTAAACAAACAACTCAAGATATTCATACCTCCACAGACAACTGCCTTGTTGAAGTGGATTTGAAGATGCCTTTTTAATTTGACCAGTTTGGCTGGCTTAAACATGCTGGACAAGCAGAAAACTGCTGGTAGTTGGTGTAACACTTGTTGCACTGCTGCAGCTCAGGTAATGTGTCAACTCTCTGAATCCTTATGTCTCTACAAGAGATGAAGCCACACACAATTATCTCAATGATGACAAATGGGATTAAAATGACTAAACTACAAGGTAATATTAACACACAAACAATGCATATAACAAAGGGAATCAAAGCAAACTATTTATTTTTATAAATATTAAATGTCTTCAAAACTTCACAGCAAGGCCCATTTTACAGCATGCATCCGAAAATTAATCGAAACATCCACAGAAAAAAGTTATATACTATAAAGTATCTGAACAAATTCAAGTTTCAATATAAGATAATAAAGCCAAGCACACGTTAAGTACTTAGCAGATAAATGCTTAACATAATATATATGATAATTATTAAACATATGATAGCAAAAACATTACAGACTACTCACCGTGCTCTCTCGTTGTCAATAACTCCGCCCATCACTTCCGGTTCTGTGGCTGCGGTTCTGAAACTGTTGGTGCTGCGGGCAAAGAGTATAGAAGCACAAGAGGCGAAACTCTGTAGTGATAAGGACAACAGTCTATAGATGGCGCTGCGGAGGCACTGCCGCCATTTTGGACTGAAAACTGCTGAAAGTCGCTAGAAGATGCGAGAGAGCAAGTGGGCGAAACGCAAGCATTCTACTCCTTTCTTATGTCTTACAATCTCTTTTAGATGAAACAGTCTAGTCAATTGGTGGCGGGGACCTATCTATAATCTTTATATTTAAGTATGATACAAATATATATATATATATATATATATATATATATATATATATATATATATACACTTTAAATGTGTTATTGTAAGTTGGTCAAGCACGACAGGCTCCTATTATTCTACGGCGTTTTTGTGTAGTTTTCAGTCCAAAATGTCGGCAGCACAGTCACGTCATGGGCGCAACTGTTGCTATGGAGCGTTCTATTGAATTTCGCCTCTTGGGCTTCTATACTCGTTGCTGCGGGTCTGCAACTGGATATATCTCGTTGTTCACGGTGGACTGTCTGACTTAAAGGGACAGTTCACCCAAAAATGAAAATTTTGTCATAATTTACACACAAGTTGTTCCAAACCTGTAATAATTTCTTTCTTCTGTTGAACATTAAAGAAGATACTTTAAATAATGTGGGTAATCAAACAGTTTCTGGTCCCCAAAGACTCTGATAGTATTTTTTGTTTTACCTTACTATGGAAGTTACAACCAGCAGCTGTTTAGTTGAGACACATTCTTCAAAGTATCTTCTTTTGTGTTCAACAGAAGAAATAACTTTATGCAGGTTTAGAACAACCTGGGTAAACTATACCTTTAAAGTGACAGACACATCCGTGCTTCTAAAGGTATAGGCCTATTGTTTTTTTTTTTAATTTGGATAATCTGTTAGCATAATATTATATACATTATCAGAGCTTGGTAGACATAATTATTACATTTTTAGACATGATTAGACAGACATTAATATATTATAATTAATGTTAGGCCCTATTTATTAATTTATCATTGATATTAATCATAAATATATACATAATAAATAATAATATATGTTATAAACAATTTGGCATTTTAAAAAGTTTAAAAATTGCTAAATTGTTTAGATAAAAATGGGACAAAAAATTACATAATAATGTCCTAATTCAAGCAAATTAATTTAAAAAAATTATAAATAATAAAAATTAATCCCATCTGTAACAGCTGCAGAACTGTCAAAAAAGACTAATAATATAATAATAATAATAATAATTAATAATTATAAAAAAGCAAATTTAAAATAACAATATTAATGTGTTCTGCTGCAAGTTTACATACTTGAGCATGTTTTCTCATGGTTTATTGTTGAGCTATGAGTTCCTCACTGATTATTCTTCTCCTTGGGGTTTTTTTGGGGGGTTTTTTTGCCTCGCTGAAGGTGGCAACCCTAGTGGTGATGAACAACAGACTAAGCTACCTGTGCCTCGAATTTACAGCTAATTATCCAAAAGACAAAAAGTTAATTTGTCTTGCTAACATCCATGACTCTCATGGGAGCTATCATGTAAATTAGCTAAAGTTTAGCTAAGGCAATAGGAAGTCTAGTAGTTTAGACCAGTCCACGTTCTTTCACTGCATGATTCAGTTTATCACAATGCATTTAGAATGATCACAAAATTCAGGATATGGAGGCAGAAATGTATATATAGTTATTTCATATACTATAACGATATTTCATATGGTTAATCAGTATCACGCGAAGCCTGACGGTTTTTTTTCACCAAAAAGCAGCATGATTACAAATGATAGTGATTTTTATACAACAGTTCAATAAACAATAATGTAATATTACGAGACTTACTTTTCGACATAAAATTGACTGTTTTTGCTCTATTTCGCCAACAAATATAATTCCAATTTGCTTCTCTGAGCAACTTGATGCTATTTTGTTTGCGATGCCAACAATGCCAAGACTGTTTTGTTCTGTCAGACATCATCATCTAATGGGTGCAGTTTATTCAAATGCATTTAGAATGATCACAAAATTCAAGATATGGGGGCAAAAATTTATGTATTTATATCATTTCATATAGTTAATCAGTATCACACGAAGACTGACGTTTTTTCCACCAAAAAGCAGCATGATTACAAATATATTGCAATATATATTACAAAGATATTGATTTTATACAGCAGTTCAATAAACAACTATTTAATATTAAGACACTTACGTTTTAGACACAAAATTGACTGTTTTTGCTCTATTTCGCCAACAAATATAATTCCAATTTGCTTCTCTGAGCAACTTGATGCTATTTTGTTTGCGATGCCAACAATGCCAAGACTGTTTTGTTCTGTCAGACATCATCATCTAATGGGTAAGTGTTATTTCTGTAAGGTCTCTCTGGTCTGACAGTGCTCATCTAATTGAGAGAAAGAAAAAAAAAACGTTTTAATCATGTTGTGACATGGGTCTTCAGCTTTTAGACATGGCCAACATTTACTATGGGTTTACCACAGTAATCGTAGTTTTACTGTGGTATTTGTGGTTATTAACGCACAATAACCACAACATCTAACATGCTTCTCCCACCGTAACTGTAGTTTTACTGTGGTATTTGTAGTTAAAGCTCAATAACCACAACAAATACTATGAGTTTACCTCAGTAACCGTAGTTTTAGTGTGGTATTTGTTGTTACTAAAGCATAATAACCACAACACTTACTATGGGCTTACCTCAGTAATCGTAGTTTTACTGTGGTATTTGTAGTTACTAAAACACAATAACCACAACACTTACCATGGTTTTACCACAGTAACTGTGTTTTTACTCTATATTATTTGTAAAGCACAGTAAACACCTTTTAGTGTTTAGACCTTGCCACGCTTTTAATACATTTTTGTGAAGTAATTGTAATTAAAAAAAATTTTCTGTCTTGCAGTTACATCAGATCACATACTCCAGCAGCTCTTTAAAGAAGCCATCTCTCTCTCTGTGCTAGAATTAACAGGGAACTTGAACTCGAAGCTCCCAATGCTGATCTTGAAGAAGCTGTCAAGGAGGCTGAACAAGTCCTTCAAAGGTTCAACCCTTCACAGATCATGTTGAAGACATTTAGTTATAACTGATTCGCTTTAATGAACGCATTCCTTATTTTATGTTAATAATAACTTGCCTTACAGTCCTTTTACACTCGTACTCGTTAAAAATGCCCCGATACCAAACGCCGATACCACACAGCATGTGATAAGCGCCATATACAAACAAAGAAACACCAACAACAGACAGCAGAAAGGAGTTAAGGATGTCTACTACGAAGTATATGTATGCAATGAATATAATGTTAAACATTCAGTATTAACGCCTGTATAGCTGGTGTGCGCGGTAACAAGTAAAAGTAAAAAGTAAAACAATGCACAAGTTACTTAACGGTAGGGAGAGCGAGAGAGAGAGAGCGCGCGCGCAATTCTGTTGTGTGATCTTTGATGTTCACTCACTTAGCACATGCATCATTTGGATTAAAACGAAAACCATTCATAGGGGCATTCACTATAAACATCATTTATTTTCAACCTTAGGCATACACGACTTTCTGGCGAAAGTGAATCTAGCAGCCTGTGAAATGCGCTAGGCTGTAGTGTACTTGTCCCTCTCATTTTGCATCAGTACAAATACGTGCGCGTGTTGCGCCTGTTTTGCTTGCTTGAGTGTTTCTGCATTATATGAGAGGCTTTGGAATATAAATCGCAGCACGTTTCAGATGAAAAAACGCGACTTCTATTTGTGAAAATATCACAGTTAGGAGATTTATAACGAGTGGATATGTGAAACCAAAAATGATTCAGAGACCAGATATAATTTTTTATATTTTTTTTACTGTGGGTGCAGGACACTATAGTTCATTTATGTAAGTGAGGATAGCAAAATAAAGTAAACTGTGACAAATCATACCAAAAAATTCTTCATACAGTGGACTACCAGTAAAA